AACCCCAATTAGTCCTCTCTAGTTCTGTCGGTTATTTTTCCAACATGGCAATGATGATGCTTTATGCATAGCCCTATTGCCCTCTCTCTCTCTCTATATATATCTATATCTATATATGTAGCCTGTGTGACACTAGGTACCAGCTGGGATGGAAACGGAAGGGGCACTAGCACCCAGTAGGACGGCAAGTTTTCAGTGTCGAGAGCAAACGCGAATATCTTGAGCTCTCACGAGAGCCGTGGTATGCCGGCAACGTGCTTAGAACGCCACTGTAATCTAGAGGCTCAGACTTTTATTTGTGTGTACGCATTGGAAACGGTATGTGATTATTTTAGCAGGTTTATTGATATGTGCATTGTGATAGTTTCTCTGTGTAGAAGCTTAAAGGGTTGTTTTCATTGATTCTGTAGCTGAAAGAAGTCTTGGTGGTTTGCCCTGTGTAACGCTCGGACAGAAAACCAGACGTGTGCGGATGGTGAGTGCAGGTGGTTTAATAAAAACCAATCGGCCGTAGTCAAAAGGGGAAAAACAGAGATCGTAGTCAAAAAACAGTCCGAAAGTCAGAACACAGATCATAAACACAAGCGAAAGTACCAAAGGAATAGGCAATAGTCAAAAACGGAGTCAAACGAAGCAAAAAGGTCAAACACGGTAAACAATCAGAACAGGAAGAAAAAACGCTCAGTAGTCTCAGAGAAACAATACCTCGCAGTGATTCTATCTAAAGCCCGGGCTTATCTACTCTAAACTACCTGTCATATGATCATCAACACAGGTGCAAGCAGTCAAAACTCAGGGGATTGTGAGCGCTGATAGGAGCGCCTGTGAGAGTCTGAAGTCACATGAGACTCCATAGTATCCTGGGAAATGGAGTTCACATCCGAGTCGGATTCCGAGTGCGGCTTCTCAGTCACATGATCTCCCAGAGAATTCTGGGAGATGATGTCCGTTTCCTCCATAGAGGGAGCTGAATGCATGACACCCTGCTTAAACAGTTAACTAGAAAGATGAGATACAGGTAACTACTTTAAGTTGTTGTATATATGTGTATATATATATATATATATATATATATATATATATATATATATATATATATATATATATATATATATATATGTGTATGTATGTATGTATGTATATGTGTATATATATATATATATATATATATATATATATATATATATATATGTATGTAAACCATTAATTAAAGATGTATTTATGTTGAAAATTAATCTGATCTCAATTTTGAAACATCCCTTTCCCTCCCTCTAAGTATATCAATAAACATTAGGATATGACTGATCTTAACTACCATACAAGTTTAAGAACATAATATCTATAATACTGAAAAGTCAAAGCAATGAAACAACGAAAACACACTTTGAAACCATGTTCACATTAACCCAACATGTCAACAAGGCAAGTAACGACAGCTGTTTAATCCTCAAATAGTAGCGAATTTGACTTTAAAATATATCATATTGTTGTAACTATACACACACGTTGGTTTTCTATATAAATATTGTAAATCAGTGCTTTATTGACTTTAAAGTACCAAAAGACGCAGTTCTTTTGCTCTATGTTTATGGGTTTTAATTGCCCGCAAAGAACTTCCTGGAACTATCTACGTGAATCACGTGACCATCAAGCATTTTCAACTTCCGTTGACGCTACTCTCTCTCTATATGGCTCTGGCCATAACATCACGGGTTTTTCACAAACACTGTATCACTCCGCAGAGACGCTGCTGCTGTGCTATTTCGCGATAACACACTCCCTCTCCTGTTCTATTGCTTAAACAACAGTTAGTTCTGGCCACGCAAGCTTATTGGTTGAGAAGTGTTCTAACTGTGCTGTTATTTCGCCATAACAGCACAGTTTTTTCATAAACACTCTATCATTCTGCTGAGACGCCGTTGCTAAGCAACGACTTTGACAGCTGTAGGAGACGCTCAAGCCATTTGAACGTTTTTACTTCTTACTTTGCGCACAGAAGCAGAAAATGGATACTTTTAAGATTACATTTCTGGCTAATTCCAGGTTGTTTAGGTGTTCTTCTGTCACAGCTGCCGACAGTTTCGGAATTTAGTGTAAGGAGCTGGAGAACGAATCGCTGGCTGTGCAAGGAGTGAGCGGAGTTCGTTGCTCTGACGAAGAAGCAAGCTGCTTGTTAAGGAACTATAAGGAATAAGGAAGGAATTGCCACCATTAAAACATATTAAATGCCACGTTCACGGTCCAGTTTATTTATTTCTTACTTTATTTATTTAACTGTTGTATAAAAGCAATAGAACGCTCAAGGTCATGTGTTATCGCGAATAACATCACAGCCATGATGCTATTTTGTGAAAACACATTCCCTCTCGTGTTCTATTGCTTAAAAAAACAAAACAAAAACAAAAAAAAAACACCTATATATATATATATATATATATATATATATATATATATATATATATATATATATATATATAAATCTTGCTGTAGTGTGTGTGGATTATGCCAACTAGCGTTAGCTAACACAGCTGAGTTATATGCTATTCAAAGGACTTACTAAGTTAACCTTTTAATACAAAGCTTTTAATTAATTTTTGTTAATATTAGATCCCTATTACAAACTGTTCAGAGCATTGAAAGTTCATTTTAACTTAGGTTATGATATAACCATAATTAAACTTACTGGAAATTATGAAACAGCCTCTCTTGAAGTCCAGCTGAAAGGGGTGATTCCAATGAGGGTGGGGTCTTATCTGCGTTTTTTGCCAAAAGATTATTAATTATTAATATTAATAATTAATTTACCAAATTATTAATTTTCCAAATTTTATTAGAATAGAATACAACATTGCAGTATTTGATTCTTAATAATTCAGTGTGGACTGGTATATGTTACTGCGATTGCAGAGACAGGCTGAATCTCAAATGGCTCCTTATATAGTGATGATACACTATATCAGTTAAGAAATTTTGACTTCTTCAACTAAATAGTGCACTATATGTCCAGTAGGGAATTGTGCACACCTGGCTGAATCCCAACTGGCTCTTTGTTAGACATATTATGCACTGTTTGGTTTCAGGAGCCTTATTTCAAGACCTATATAGTGCACTATGCAGGCAGCAGGAAGCCATTTGAGATTTATCCATAATCAGCACAAACCTATAGTGCATTCCTGGGCCATATGAGCATGCATGGGAATTGACCCAAGCTCCTTTTGCCGACAATCCAGATACCGAGTGTAACGTGCACTCGGCCCGAACCTATAAATACTCAATTGGGCCGTATCAGAACATATGGGAATCAGCCCAAGCTCCTTTTGCCAACTGCCGAGCGTAAACTGCAACTGGCCTGAGCCTATGCATGCACACCTGGGCCACGTCAGTACATATGGGAATCATCCCAAGCTCCTTTTGCAACACTCAGCTGAATTCAAGCTGGCTGATGACGAGTCTCTGCTGATGCTGCCACAGATCAGCCAAGCTCGGGCCGAGTCTTCATGCTTCTTAAGAAGCTCCTGCTGAGTCTGGCGGTCTTGCACCGCATGCTGCGGTAGCGTTTGCCAGAGGGCAGAAGGCTCAACAGTCCATGGGCAGGGTGGGTGGGGTCTCTGACTATCTTTGTGGCTCTGCTGATGTAGCGTGACAGGTAGAGATCTTGTATGGATGGAAGTGGAGTTAAGTGGGGTAGTGTAACGGCAGTCATGAGTCATCAGAGTGAACAACATAGGGCTCAGCACACAGCCCTGGGGAACTCCAGTGTTAGCAATGATTGTTTCAGAGGTGTTTCTTCCAACCAGTTGTAACCAGTTGCCCAGTGGGGTGTAGATGCCTAATGAGCCGAGTTTAAGTATACATTTACTACAGACTGTAGTAAATGCTTGCTTATGCAAAAATCTGACACAAATTCCCTTTCATTCATTCCATTCATCAGCCACACCATTAAAACCCACAAGATTTAACTCTGAACAATCAGATGTGGACAGCTCCAGCCCCTGTCCAATCGCATTGAACATGTTTTTTCTTTTGCTGACCAATCAGAAGGTGAAGCAGGGAGAGCTTTAACAGGATGTGTCTGAGTTTAATGGAACTCTCAAAGTCTGTCAACAAATACTAAAGAGAGTTTAATATTAAAATGTAATAGGTGTTCCATAATTTTAAAACCCACCTCCTTTTTTCTATCCGTTTTTCATCAGCTAACCATATAGGAGCACTGTGTACTTCTACAATTACAGACTGTAGTTCATCTGTTTCTCTGCACACTTTGTTAGTCCCCTTTTTCCTTGTTCTCCAATGGTCAGGACCCCCACAGAGCAGGTATTATTTGGGTGATGGATCATTCTCAGCACTGCAGTGACACTGATGTGGTGGTGGCATGTTAATGTGTGAAGCACTGTTACTAATGGATCAGACACAGTAGTGCTGCTAGAGTGTGATGCAACAGACAATAGGTGATTTTTAGATGCTATGCACTTTAGCACTTGGTAGCCACACTCTGAGTTTGCGTGATCTACTGCTTGATGGCTGTTGTTTCTAGACACTTCCATTTCTTCAGTCCTTATTGTACTGCCAGTGTTTGTCTATGAAGATTGCAATTGCTAACATGTGCTTACACACCTGTTAGCAATTGGAGTTGCTGAAACACCTGAACTTAGTAAGTAGGAGGGGTGTCCACATACCATATAGTGGCCATATAGTGTGTGATGTAAATGTGACTCTGCGGAAATGCACTGTAAATTAGGACACAGACACATTGGTTGGTCTAAAGTTTTTAATAATTCTATAAAATATGCTGTCTTTAAAAGCAAAGATAAAAAGGCTTTAAAATACCCCCTCCCCACAACATAGTACAAAGTCAATTTTTTTGGTAAATATTTTAAAGTACAAACATTTTACGAAACAACAAATCTACGAGTTATTGCACATCTCTTTTGTCCTTATCTTTAAATACAGTGGAGTATTTTTATTGGCTGGCTTGCCATTAAGACCAAATGCAGTAAGACTTTTAGATCATCGCATTAAAGAGCCTGCACCATGTAGCACACCAGCCACTCCATTTTGAACCATAAGCAAGCCACTTCTTAACATAAACTTTCATCTTACAAATATTTATCACATTTTTTTTTAAAATAATAAATAAGTACAGATTTAACATACAACACACAGTACAAGTATGTGTTTTTTTTTGAGTAAATTTGCTTGAAATGAAGTATAGAGAAGGTATGTCTATGTGACTGTTTACCAGCCATAAAATATAAAAATGTACAGCTATTTTTGAAAGTTTTCGTATGTACACAGATTCTCAGTTAAAACACACATGACATGTGAAATGTTTTGGCAGGAGTAACGCTTAAACAAGAGGGAGATAAAAGACTCTGTACACAGTAAGATGTACATATAGCACTGAACCAAACTCTTACCCCAGTTATGCCAAAAGCATTGTAGTGTTAATTCATCAACACAATCAGGGAGAGCTTTCAAAGCTCTACTGACATACAATGACATTTGTGCTACAGCTCTTTGGAGGAACCAAGCTCTGAACAGTATACCCCTTCATGTTGGCCTGAGCATTGCATGGCTCGCACCAGCAAAGTCTGACAAGTGCCATATGACGGCAAGGGGAAGAAAGAATGAGAAAGCTGGAGAGGACTGTGTTGATGTCTACTTGTCGATGAGACCTGCCTCTTTAATCTTAGTGTAGAAGAACTTCTCCAGCAAGTTGGCGCACTTGTAGTACTCACTCTCGGGAGGATTGTACTCCCGACAGTTAGTGAAGATCCGCTGCATGTCTGCCATGAACAGCTTCCTCGTGGTGTAGTATCGACTCTTCAGACGCTCGCTCATGGTCTTCAGGTCTACACACATGCAGAAACACAAACATGAAATTCTTTGACTATTGCTTTAAAGGAATAGTTTGGCAGAAAAAAAAATCAACATTATATAATTTTTTTTTACTTATTCCAAATGCAGTTGATCACCAAAGACATGCTTGGTGTCCAAGGTTTGCTTCTTTAGTTTAGTACAGGAGCTGCCAGTTTTAATAGTGCTAACAGACATTGGAAATAAATAGTCACTAAAATCCGTTTCCACAAATACACACAATATTTGCTTCAAATTACATCAATAAGCTATGCAAATTTGTTTAGAAAAAAATAATTTGGTAAAATGCCATGGACAGATCTTATTTACAGATTTAAGCTAAAAGAACTATGGTACTCACGTCTGCACGTTGACATGCTATTGGGTACTACTGTAGGTTCCTGTGAAATGTCACCACTAGCGCTAGCATAGTACTTACTCACTGCATATGTAAAAAAAAGAATTAAAAAATGAATTCAACTTAGTCACGTTAACTTAAAATTTACACTTCTAATAATTTCTAAAAAGAAGAATAATTTGTTTTACAATCAATTTGTTAATTTATTATTTGAATATGAACACAAACTGTTGCATCATTTTGTAGTGTAAAAGAGCTGCATATTAAATAATGGTAAACCTACAAAAATTTGATTTTGCGTTCTATTTTGCAAAAACAGAACAACAAAATCTATCCATAGTCTGGTACATAACCAGTGCTGCCTTACAGATACAGACGCATGCAAACTGTGGCTTTTGGCAATAAACCACAAACCAGCAAGTGAGATGTTCAGTAAGGTTACCATGCAAAATCTTTGTGTATGTGATGATTTTTCAGCTGATGATTAAAAGGAAGGAACGGAAAGTTTTAATAAGCAGCTAATTTCAGCCTTGTGCTAACAGGTGGTTCAGGAGGCCAACTGATGCTTTTTTCATATGTATATTCAGGTTCAAACATGTATTTTCTTTCTTATTTTTTGTACTGGACATCTGACTCGAATGACGCGTGATGATTCAGTAGTGAATGTGTTTGACCAATCAATGGTCTACAATACTTCTGGCTCCACCCATACTTCTCAGTTTGGTACACCTGATACCACAGCAAGACACCAAATTTGGTACCTAAATCAGTCCAGGTACAGTTGAGTTGGCAGCAGATACCAGAGTATGTGAGTGGTGCTGAGTTGAAGTGGAGTGGCGAGTAGAGCAGAGTGGTTTTGGTTGTTAAGCAGACTTATTACTGGAAATTCATCAAGTGTTATATTTTTGTTCAGTATTTCTTTCTTTTGAAGGTTTTAGTTTCACTTCAGTTTTGACATTGATGTTTTGTTCTAGTTCTCTGGCGTTCTTTGTTCAGCGGCATAACTAGGATCTTATGGATAATGAATCTGTCCTCCTCCCCACCATACAAAAATTACTTTCAATCAATCAATCAAAAAATTATAATGTAATTTGCATGTGTATTTTGTATTGTTATGTCTCAAATGTGTCGATGCTCTCAAGGCATGCCACTCCACCCTTTAGAATCTAATATATTTGGTTGGCTATATAACCGTGGTATAAATACAGATAAACAAAAATACAGTGAAAATAATGTGTTATTTGGCTGCAAAGTTATTATGTAGATTAGATGAATACAGTTAGAAGAACACAGGTTTGTTTCCTTACTTCTCACTGCAACACTGGATTTAATTTAATGGATTGAATAGATAGGTAGATTCATTAAACTAGGTACTGGATAGTGACTGTAAATACTATCCAGTACCTAGTTTAATAAATGTAAGTTTCATCCAGGAGAGATTTAGCTGACACACACAATCACAATGGATTTTTTATTTGTTTACTTACTGCCCAGGCAACTTAACATATCATTTTCTAAGATGCCTGTTATTGTTTGTTTGCAATAAGAAGTGATTCCAGGTTTAAAATGTATGTCATGTATGACAGTTCCATAATCAGCTCAGTCACTTTACATTCCAGTGTTAATAATTACATACACTGTTAGAAATAAAGGTTCTGTGCAGGTATATTTTTTGTTCAACAAGATACAAACAATGTAAATGTACCATCAAAGACACAACAGTGGTTTTAAGGTCCAACTGTGTATCTTGAATAAGGTTTTCTTAATGGTAGAAAATATAATTTCAGTGGATTATGGTACAATTGGGTTTCCTTGACCAAAGATTCTCAGACGTACCCTTAAGGGGACAAGAGGGGTACTGCCCCAGTGACGGTTTTGTACTTTTTTTTCTGAGAGTGTATGATATTGGACAAATTAAGGTAAAGCTCACTGACACCTTTTATCATTTAAATGTGAAGTATTTTGTTGTATGATGCAATGTTTGTGTTCCTATACACTCTGTAATCTCTATAAAAATATTAATTTAAAAATAAAAACTTTAATCAGCCTGAGCTGAAACTACAAATATAAGAAAAAGGTATGCCTACCACATGATTGTGATGATTTCTGTTGGGTTTTGTTTGTAATCAGATATAAGTTGAGTATGTTAGGAAGCAAAAGCAATTTTTGTAAGCAGGTGAACATGTCATTGTTAATGAAATCGGTTAGCTAGAGTATGAAAATTAATGACAGACATGATCTCAGGTGGTACTGGTGAATGTGATATTTCCTGACTGAGGGAAATAGTCTACAGGAATAGCAGCGAGCTAAGGCATCAGGTGAGCAGACATGGCTAATGACTGACCTGTTGCTCTCACTTGCTGTAATAGCACACTCTCTCTTTCCCTCTCAGCTCCTCCTTTCTCTCCTCCTCTAATCCATTTGCAAAGTTGTGAGCACACACCGTGATGCTGTGGGCTAGTTAACTAACTAAGCTAGCTAGCCAGCTAGTTGAACTGTACATCTGCATGCGTGGAGCCTGTGGCGGACACTGCAACATCCTTTAGTGTGCATAGACCGCATGGTTTAAAATAACCAGTCGCATAAGAGATTAGGGGTCAGCGGGGCGGGGGGTGTTTTTTCACATATGAATGGATGTGCTTGTGCTGTGCCCTAGTTTAGTTAATTCTTTTTTACACAACTGACAGGTCAGACTACCGGACTGAAAATGTCTGGGTACTCCTGATGGGCAGTCCAAGTCAATAAAGAAAAATTCTGTTCGCTGAGGGCCCTAGTGCGACTACCCCCCGCCGCCAACCCCCCAGTCACACCACTGCCTTTGTTCTTTTGTTTTTTTTTTCTTCAATATGAATATCTCTGCACTGCTTGCTTCAATCAATCATGTCAATCATTGACTTCTTGGATGGCAATAAAACCAACTCGCATCCTGCCTTTTTGTCTACTTTGTAACAATAATCGTACCATACCGCACTGCCCAGTGGAAAAAAATGTCCCAAAGGAAAATTTGCATTATATCATATATTTAGTCAATTTCAACAGAGTTTTAAAATTTGAAACCTAAAGTTTCTCCAGAACCAGAGAATCTTTGGGCCAAAAATTAAAAAGATCAATTTTATACTCATGAAGGGCTTGCTAATAAGTTATTTACACTTAGGTGTGCTTAAATAGAGAAGACCCTAATATGTGCAATCCCTGCATTTGCAGGCTCTGTACTCAACCAGGATTACAAAACACTGGTGTAGTACATAATGCATCCCATGCATGGGGATAATACTGCTCTTAAAAGAAAAAAAATACGAAATGATGCATACCCATAGGAAAGCGGATGACTTGGTAATAACCAGGTGCTTCGTTCTTCTTTACAGGCTCCATAAAAGGCCATGCATTCTGGTGTGACTGGAGAGCAAACAAGTATGCATACATAAGCTTTACTGGAGAAATCCTCACACAAACCATTTAAAAATGGTCAAACACAGTGAAGTGCTTTACCTTGACTTGTTGCAAAATGGTCTTTAAAGTGCTGTATAGCTGATCTGGATCTTTCACCTCTTTGCTGTAGCAAACAAAGACAGATGTTTCAGACACTTCCGTGCAAACACACACCACAAATCAGAGGAAGATTCTAGCCTAAAACCTAGCCTGATATTCTGATTTTTACAGATATAAGGCAACCACTGAAAACAAGGCATGTATTTTCACCATTTCCCCATAGGTTTCCAGCCTGTCTCACCTAAGAAAAAAAGAGAGAAAGAGAGAAATGAATTAATTGAAAAAAGAACACTCAAAATTGCCATTACACTGTATTTGTATTTTGTAAAGTAGAAAGTAGAATCCTGACATACGTATGCCTGGAATGCTCTCGATTGGAATCTGGCGAACACCCTCCTTAAAACAGGAGAGGCCAGGATACACCTTGCGTATCTGTGCCTGCTTCCTCTCGATCAGCTTCTTAATGATCTAAGAAAGTTATACCATGAAAAAAGTTACAATTAATTCAAACACATAAAGATGGCAAACTTAGCAGCTTAACTTTCTAATAAGGTCTCACCCTCTTTGTTAATCCCCTAAGAACTACAACAAGCACGTGTTTGATATAGTGAGGGAATCAAGTATTCAGACACTTCTGTTTGTGTTATGTAATACACTTCTAGTGAATATAACTACTTCAAATTTACACATTATGCCTTTTGACTTTGTACTTGAACAAAAAGTATGTACACAAGCATAAACCAAGATGTGTTTAAATAAATCATTTAGACACCACAAATGAATAATATTAGTACTTTGCTGCAAAATTGTTGTTGGCAATTACAGCTTCGAGGCAGACTTTGAGAAGTAATTAACCTATTGCAGCATTGTGGATCAATTTTGACCAACTTCTCTTGGCAAACAGTCTTCAATTCCCCAAGGTTACGAGGATCCCTCTAATGGAACCCAAAATCCTTCATAAATTGTCCGTTCTTGAGTTATTTTGGCCGTATGTTTTGGGTTGTCTTGTTTAACTGTCCATCTTTCAGTTTCTTGGCCAGGGAGATTAAACGGCCCCAGTACTGTTTGCAGAGAAGCAGCTCCATATAATGATGCTCCCACCTCTGTACTTCACTGTGGGTATAGTGTTCTTGGGATCATACACACAACACCCTCTTTTCTCCAAATATGACAAGCTGAATTACTGCCCAAGAGTTCTTTTCATGTCTTGTTTGGCCAGAGTCCAACTTTCCAAAGAAGTTTAAATTTGTCTAAATGCTTGTTTGCAAATTTTAGATGTACATCTCTGTGCTTCTTTTTTAGCAGAGGAGTTTTGCATAGGCTTTAGGAACGGAGATGCAGTGCTGTTCTTTGCTTACTGTTGTCTATGTAACTGTTGTTCCTGCTGCATTCAGGTCATCCTGCATCTCTTTTTCAGTAAGTGCTGGTTTCACTCTTTCTGTCCCTATCATTAGTCTGAGACACAATCTACACAATCTGTATGATTGTAAAACGTGCACACACAGATTTCACTGACAGTTTTGTTATTCATCTATTTTATCCTTGTGTGTCTATATGATTAAACTCAGGTCTGGTAGGAGTGTGTGTACTTTTGAGCATAATAGTTTAAAAGTTGAAAAAAAAAATGCTTGATTTAGGGCCAAATAACCCAAACCTTTTTTTAATATGATGTACAATAATAACATTTGAAAATAACATTAATAATTTGTGTGTATGGCAATACCAAACAAAACAACATAAGCACAAGAGTCTGAATACTTTCCTGTGTATCTTCTGATTTTAATATCTCTCACTACCAGAAACTAATCTATCTGTTAAAGTAAGTAAATCTCTCTAATTCCAAGCCTAAATCTAACAGTTACATGAAGTCCAAGCAAACCAGGAAAGCAAGGCTAATCACAAATGTAACTAATGAAAAATGAAAATTAAACTACTGAGAAAACACAGAATGTTAATATCTTAGTGTTTTTTTAGTTTTAAAAACAAAAGACACAGACCTTTTAATTTTACCACTAACTACAGCTTCTAGTAAATGTATTCCCCCTAAGTTTAGAAATGCAAGCATGTGCATGCACACACATGCATAGGTACACACCTCTTTCTGTTGCTTAATGATGACTGAGAACTCTGTATAGGGGATGCTGGGGTTCAGTTCACAGCCCATGAGTGTGGCTCCCTCATAGTCTTTAATATAGCCTACATATTTGGCCTTAGGTACCTTAATGTCCTTAGAGAATCCCTACAACAGAAAAAGGAGATATGAAGATTAGCCATTACTAGTTAACACTAACTTTACTACATTTGACATTTAACCTCATCACATTTTGGTTTGTGTTTTACATTAGAAACAGAGAATTATGTTGGGCCTCTTACTGGAGTATGTTAACCCCTTAAATTTGCAAACATGGCCCACAATTCAGTAATTAGTCTGCTACTCTCCATTCACAGTATAAAGAGGCACAGAAACCATGACAAAGTATATCAGTTTTCAAGTACTACAATCAGGGCTGTAAAACTATACAAATAATTAAACACCATTAATCGCATCATGTTGTATATTTAAGTGCAATCCATTACTACTGTTTTATTCGCTGAAATTTAAGCTGTTTTTACTTCATTTAAAAGCAAGGCATTTTGTTACAGCTACATGAGTGGACAAAATAAGCTTCATCAGAATGCATTTATTACTTACATTACAATTACATTATTTTCAGCACGTTAATGTGTAGTAGATACATGCCAAAGATATGGCTTTAAAAGCTTTACTGGAATGACAATTGTGGATTCTATCCACAGCAGGGCTTCACCTTTACTAATAGTGTAAAATTTGTGATCTTACTAAATTATTGTTAATACCTTACAATATTTTCAGAAAAACACACAGTTAACTTTGACAGTTAACAAGCCGCAGAAGCTTGCGCTGTCTGTAAACTCTTCAGCTCTTCAGCATAACAGTTGTAATAAATCATTCTTCAATAAGCATATTTAGTTATTAAGTCAGGTCACTTTAATGCTTTCACAACAGTAGAGTTTTGGAGGGATAATCTTGCTTGCTGTGCTCGATGTTTGCATTTTACATAGAGAGACACCAATATTATATTGTTATCAGTAATATATACCAAAGCTTAAGTGTGCTATTGCTGAGCACTGTAAACACCAGATGACTGAAGTCAATCATGAGAATGTGTCGTTCTTACTATTACAATCCATCAAAAATGAGTAAGCTCAAGCTACTTAAGAAATGTCTCATTTTACAACACCGCATGAGAAGAAAAGTAATACAACATAATGGTACCAGTACTGCTAAAAGTCATATTACTGACACCACTGAAGAACTTTAGTGTCAACTTTGGAGACAATACCAATACTGGTACTGGTATCAGTGCCTCCTGTAATTTTTACCCATATAAAGGATTTTTTTTACACACTAACCTGCTTCTTGAAGTACCCAATAGCATATTCATCAGCATATGTGAGGAAGTTGAGGATCTCATGTTTGATGTGATACTCTTTTAGGTGGTTCATCAGGTGAGTTCCATAACCCTGAGAGAAATCAGAGTGGCTAGTATTAAAACAGCTCTGCATTATTTCAACACATTTACCATCAAGCTCTCCACTCCTGTGACAATAGACTGAAGTACAGCTGTAAGATTTGAAGGTGTATAATTTTCAAATGGCAAGACCTGCAATTTTAATTATAGCCTACATTATCAACAACCTTGAAAGATCATGTGACAAGGAATGTACATGTGGAAAGGAGTACATTCATGCTAAACACCCAATGACATATTACATCAGAAATTTTGCCGTGGCTTTCTATCTTTTCTGTATTGATCAGATACTAACATACATTCTTAAGAGGCAGTTTCTATCAATAAATCCACCCACTGTTTCAGGTCAGGTATTTTAGAGGATTTCCGGTGTCTCAGAACTATCCTTGCAGCTAATGCCAGGCCTGTGGTCACAATCGTGTATTCGCCCTTGGTTAAATTTGTCACAGTCTCTCTATTGCCACTGTGGTCAAGACACAACTGTATAGACACAACTGTGGGTAAACTTGTAAGACTTTCCCAATCCAACTTCCCAACATATGCAATAATCCCCCCCAGAAAGGTAGTAAAAATGCACATGAATGCAAATAAAAGAAAGCAGTAAATGCATTCACAACAAGACATGTTGTGATCTAAAACATATATGTGAGGTGTACTTCGGTCCTTTTGGTATTTCCAACAGAGATCATTATCTAAGCGGTGAAATTTAACCTAATAACACCAAGCTTGTGTGCCTGTAGCTGAGTTAGACCAGTCAGAAACAACCCAACAACCACATGTACATGACAACACAACCACAATTAACTGGCACTCTGCGCCAAGTTCAGGCCTCAAGGAAGAAAAAGTGGATGCACTAGTCTTGTTAGCAAGCCCTAGACCTTAATGTACAAACTGCAATTTAAATCAGAGTGACTGAGCAACATAAGAAAATCCCCTCTCTCACTCTTTTCAGTCAGTAAGAGTCACACTTTATATATAAACACAAGATCCTGTTGTAAATGAATGTGTGATGTTCATTTTATTTAATCTTATTATGTAGCTTCATACTCTACAGATTTGTTTATTGTTTTTTGTCTATTGTTGTGAGCCATAACAACATGTGTTGGCCAAACACACATGTACAACATACAAATTATAGATCTTGCACTTTCTTTACATTATTTTCTTTATTTCTTAATGATAAATAACTTGTCATAGTTATACCTTAAACAATCACCATTGTCTTTTGGGGAAAAAAACAACAATAAAATCAATAAAAGCAAAAGGTCAAAGGTCAATATGTGTCAAAATGTATTGCATCGCAATGCAAAAACAAAACAACAAAACATATCGTATCATGCATCATTACACCCCAACTCTAATGACTTTGTTTACATCATGTTTTCAAACATCTGTGAAATTCCTCTATAACAGATTAGACAAAAGTGTAAGGTGACTGTATCTTACCTTCACCTGTTCGTTGGAGGTTACAGCACAAAAAACAATCTCAGTGAAGCCCTGAGACGGAAACATCCGGAAGCAGATTCCTCCAATCACGCGGCCATCTTTGATTAGAGACAGCGTTTTGTGCTTCCTGTGTGAAGAGGAAGTGGATCATTATTTACTAACTAACTTGAGAAGCTACCTTACAGTCCAGCCTTCCTTATTAATAACTTGCACTAGTTATTGGACCACTTACAGAAGGTTGCTGTGGTTTATTAGGTTTAATACTCAGGTGGTGTTAGTAACAAATTAGAATACCACAGACCAGCATAAAAGGAGGCATCTTTTCCTAGGTCAGCACTAGAGGTGCACTGGTCATGATTTTTTTCTGACCGATGCATGCACTTCAGATAAAACATTCAGAGAGCCATACATTTTTACAGAAAGCGAGGCTTACTGACATAGTTCTTACGGATATATCAAATGAGTCCTAGTGAGCATCAGTTTGCAGTGCTGAACAGCAGAGAAGGCACTAATGCCTGCATATCTGCAGTAACAAACTGTATGGGAATAAAGAAAACAGCTTACAACTATTCTACACACATCCTCTAGCAGATTGCTAACAAACTAACAGGCTAATCCTGTAATATTCAGAGATGCACCAAAATAAAATTGACATATGTTACTAATATATCCAATTTAATAAATTCAACATAACCTTTCTGTCAGATTCTCGTATACACTTTTAACTCGCCTCCCAACAGCCAACAATCTGATCAATTCACTCAAAACTAGGGATACTCTGAAATTTTGGCCACAAACATTTTTTCAGTTTGTAGACTGAAAGAAAAAAAAAGGTCAAAAATTTTTGGCCAAAAAATTAAATAGGATTATAAGTAGATGTCAAACTGTCAAATTAAAATCATTTTAATGATAAGGAAGACAAAAAAACACCCTGCCACAGCAGTCAGCACAAATACTTTCAAACAGTTAATGCTGCAGCAAGTCACAGTTTCTATGAGGGATATTAGACAAGCGATTTGTAATCACTTTTTTAATCAAGAGGAGGTACAATACCCAAATTTTACTGATTTTGTTTTATCATATTCGTCAGCTCGGTTTTGTCTTACTGATTTTTTTTTCAGATTATAATAAATGTTTATTTTCTTTATTACCCTTGTAATTTTCATGTTTAGTGCGTTTATTCAAACCGTCATCACCTCTTTGCAGAACGTCTTAAGTATGTGGAAAAGACGAATTTTGACACATGCACGTTTTACTGTTTCTTCTCCGAATCTGTAGTTATAGAACAAATCATTTCGGCCTGGAAAAGAGACTGAGGCATGTTTAAAGTCATTATAAAATACTCTATATACAAATTTGACTGCCCACATAAATTATGTTATGTGTTAAATCACCATGTTTTCTCTGTTTTGTAAAAGCAGTAAGCAATTTGTATGGAGTTAATTTTGTGCCAAAAGTTTTAAATAAAATAATAAAATCCACAAGGAATGTGGAATCATCTCCCGATCTCTGTTTGGGACTCTCTCTACATTTAAAACTAGACTCAAAACTTGTTTGCACAAGCATTTTGCTAATATCAGTTGTTGCACTATTAACTCACTAATATCTCTCCATTAACATACCTGTCCTGTTAATCATTTTCTCTCTCTCATTTTCCCTCCCTTTATTTGAGCCCCTGAGCGACGTTTGCCTGAATCGCCACGTGAGCCACCAGAGCTGCTAGAGTCACCAGAGCTCCATCTCTGTTGGCTGATCTGCACCTCACCTGCATGAACTGACCCTCCTGCTGATGCTGCTGCATAAACTCAAACTATTTAATTAACCATTGCTCCACCTGTTTTTCCTGTTTTGTATTCTAATATTTTATACTAATGCTGTTTGCTATCCGGTGTCGACCAGAGGAGGATGGGTCCCCTTTTAAGTCTTGGTTCTACTCAAGGTTTCTTCCTCTTGCTCTTAGGGAGTTTTTCCTTGCCATTTTCGCCATTGTCTTGCTCATGGGGGCTTGGACCCGGATTTTTCTGTAAAGCTGCTTTGTGACAACACCTGTTGTAAAAAGCACTACATAAATAGACTTTGACTTGACAAGCAAAATATTAATTATCAAAATGTCCAAAAACACATTACAAATACAAATAATGACAGTTAAATCAGACTAAGTTTTCAAAAGGATTTCTACTCATTTTCACTCTGAGTATTAAATGTATTTCTCATTTTGCCAGTTTGTGCTGTAATTTTTTTTTCTAATTGCTACACTGAAACATCTGAATCGCTCGTTTGCTTCTGAAATCTTTCTTTTGCTTCTGACTTTCGGCACTTTTTAATAGGGGGTGGGTCTTAGAAGAGGGCGTTCACCTGCATTTTCTATTGGTCAACTGATTTGGAGTGACCTTCTGAACACGTAGTCACACCCACTCCGAGAACTTGCATCGAACATGGCGGAGCACTTCGTAGTCAGCGTAGTATTGCCAGAGAGGATTGCACTGATATATCCAACCTCATGAGCAGTGTTTGACATATTTATTAATGTAACACATGCTCAGGGTCCTGTGTTAAGCTGTGTGAAATTGGAAATTGAAGTATATTAGGTAAACTTGGCTGTTTTCAGCTGCTAGCAATATCTAGTCTAGCTGTGTTCGCTAAAAGACTTTGCAGCTGTTTAAATCAGGGTTTATTAGCCCTGCTTCTAAAGACCTACAGCTCTGCACGCTTTCAAGTATTCTTTACCTTAAAACACCTGATCAAGCTCATCAGCTGATTATCAAGCCATTCATGAGCTGGATCAGGTGTGCTGGGTCAGGAAATCGATAAATCTGCGGTGCTGTGGGATCAAGAAAAATAATGCAGCACTGACCTAAACATAGTGAAGAGTGGAAAATACCACCGATTACTGCCAGCTATGAGTTACTGCTGCCGTGAAATGGTTGATAGACAGTAATGTTTAATCACTACAAAAGGAATCAAGTCAACTTGTCATGGCTTTTGTTGTTTCTACCCACAGAATGCCGTGTTGGTCACTGAAACTAGGCTTCCTATCTCAGCACGCCAGTTTACAGAATGTTGCTGCTCCAAATCACTATCTTTACATTAATACAGTGAAATAACAGTTTAGTCCCATTATCGGCATGACTAGCATAGTTAGCCCTGCGAACTTGAAAGGTGGTGCAGCTCCGTTCATTCACAAACAACTAAGTTTGTGCTTCAATGCCCTTATCAAGTTACATTGTTTTACCCAGGTTGACACAGGACCCATAAATTTGTGTAACATATGATAAACATCACTCATAATGTCAGACATGCCAAGTAAAACGCTGCACAGCGTGTTCCGCCATGCTGGGGGCGGTTCATGCTGAGCAGTTACGTATTAAGAGGGCTTGTTACTCCAAATCAATTGATCAATAGAATGTGCAGGTGAACGCCCTCTTCTAAGACCCATCCCTAGTTAAAAAGTGCCAAAAGTCAGAAGCAAAAAAAAAAAAGATTTCAGAAGCAAAAGAGTGATTCCAGAACCAAAAATATATCAGCAAAATCAGCAAATAGAAAAAAATGAAAGCAAGAACTGGCAAAATGAGTAATACCTTTATATCAGAATTAGTGAAAATCAGTATTGTTTTGAAAAGTTTGATTTAACTTTCATTATTTGTATTTGCAATGTATTTTGGACATTTTGATACTTAATATTTTGCTTGTGGATTTTATTACTTTTTTTTTTTTTACCATTGGCACAAAATTAATTCCATACATCGAGGCTGTGTTACAGAGATTTCACCCTGATTTTTGTCATGCAAGACAGATAAAACAAGACCAAAATAATACTAACAAGCCCAGATAGAACAGAGAAGAGCATGGTTCACAAAGTTCTTTGGACATTATCACAGTTATTGCACGTCATAAAATCTGCCCAATCAGTTGTGACCCTTTACACATGACTTATATTTCTAATCTCCTTTGGTTCAATGTTAAATATATGTCTGTGTGAATGCCAAGCAAATCAGAATTAAATGCAACTATGTATCATTTTCTACTTTGGAGCAAACTGGAACCAAACTACAAGTATAAACACACTCTTAAATTTTGGTTTTAGCCAGGAATTTTCATTTCGGTGCATCACTACTCAAAAAAACAACTTGAACAAAACAAGGCAATAAGGCAATCTGTAGGCCTACAGATCCCTTCACAGATCAAACAAACAATGCAATACAGCACAACCACAATAAATAAAATCAACTGTTATATGCATTACAATGGAATACAGGTCTGGTACGCTGCAATGCTGAACACTACGACTGACCTAGATGTGCTGTACTGTACAAACAAGCATGTGTGAAACCCCATACGTACAGTACATGTACCAACATTTTTATACAAAAACAAGGATTAAATAAAACTTCTCACCTACTTACGCACAAATTTAAAAATCCCACAGAACGGAAACATCTAAAATTGTGCATGCCTTTATTTTATGTTCAGCAGCCTTTATTCCCAGGGCCCTACGCTTACTTATTTTCTACGAAACAACTACGTTCCCATAGCTTCATGTTTCAGCCGCATGTTGCCTCAATGCTTCGTTAACATGATAATAAGATCAATATCCATATCTCTGACATATTTGCAAAGTTGCACATTCCAACAGTTTGCTTAGCTAACTGATCATCTTACTGAGGCTAGCCTAGGTAAAGGCAAGTGTGTTCCTCCTTAAGAATCCATTCCTTGTTGTCCTCTGTATGACCTTTGGTAATTCCATGACCCAATTTCCCTTAGCAACCCTTTTATATGTTTTCTTAACATACTGACAATTCCTCCTTTTTTACATTGAGGTCATGTAAAGAACTTCCCAGCCCTGCCTAAGCTGCCCCTGGTTCCCCCCGTAATTAAAACATTGAAGCATCTACTGAGGGATTCACTGCAAAACTTGCATGTTTCAAATGTAATAGGTGTGCTAAAATGACTGTCCCTCACCATTAGCTTAGCATAGGAAATTAGCAGAAATAAGCAGTATACTAGTGGATAAAAAGGCTGCTTTCAAAGTAAATGTTTCCACATGAAATACTGTTACGTAAAAGATGCAATGTCTATGACTATGTGAGAAAACAGAGTAAAGCTTATTAACTTGTCAGAATATCTTATGCTTTATGTTAGTACCAGTAGTGGTAGCAGAACGTGGAGATGACTAAACAGAACAAAAACCCCAGTGCTGCTATGGAAGAGTGGTGTTTAGCGTGAACAAATGCAATTTCTTGTTAGGACAATTTCAATCATGCATCCCTAGTCAGCACATATGATCTAAAAAACACAAATGGAAGCATAAAGAGGATGGTAGAGTTCAAAGATCTTCAGTGGCAAAAGGTAAGAGACATACGGGTCAAAGACGAGGCGTGTGATGTATTCTTTGGGCATGCGGGGCAGCTGATGGGAGAAGACATTCTGAAGGCCCACCAGCCACATCAGGATCTTCTTGTTGGGCTTCTGGTTGAGGGAGTTGCCGATGACGTGGAATTCAATCACACCTCGTCTCTCTTCTAACCGTGCAGCTTCGTCTCGTGCTGAGTGGGCTGAGAGGAGACTGGTCTGAGAGACACAAAGAAAGAGAAACAATAATGTGGTCAGTTGAAACTATTTTTGTGCCTTCTACACAACTAAAGCCTTGGGTACACTACATGACTTTTGAAGTCTTAACAGATTATAAAAAGACTGGGCACCTCACACTATACAACTGGTTTCTGCAAATTTTTTGGGTGACTGAAATATTTGAGATCACACACTAAATGATTAGGGATCACACACTACTCAACTTTTAAGCTGTTGCTGAACCAAACAGTACTAACTGAACTCGTGCAAACTCATGCTAAAAAATCTAACGTTTGATATACTCTGACTGGTCTGAAACAGTGACTCTGCACCCCTCACACGCTACTCAATTCTCTCTCCAACTGTCAAATCCGACTGACCCAAAAATCTGCAGACTAGAGCCAACTAGCACAGACTCGGCCAGACTTTGAATCAGGGCTAAAATCGGGGTAAAAGTCATGTAGTGTAACCCCGGCTTAACGTGTAAAAGGCATGGCTGTGTTTGAAATCATGTTCTTGACTGGGATTACTCATATCAGTTTTGTTGTGTCTTATCTTCTTCTAAAAAAAATATGTATATTTGTTTCATATTGCAGAATGCTTTTTCATTGCTTGTCCAATACAGGGAACATGCATTGTCCTTATGTTCAGACTAGAGCTGTTAAACGATTATAATAATTTATTATATGATTGTTATTTTCTGTACAATTTATTGCAATTTATGCTCAAAGTTAACCGCAAAGAGAGTTTTTTCTATTTGAACGGCAGAGCATTTTGTCATATCTGTATAACTGTCCAGGGCAGTCTGCTTTGATGCTACAATGGCAGGCTACAATCACAGATCCTATCGTAGCTATACAGAGCACACCAGCAGCTGGGCTTCAGCCTGCAGTACTACAGGTGGTTTCAAGGGTCAATTTAGAAAAATTATTTGTAATAATAATTTAGCATGTTACACATTATGTATTAACACTGACAGGTCAAGTTCAAACTAAATTTTCAATATCATGAAATCCTTAATAAAAGCTATTACTGTTTCTAACAAATAAATAAAGGGTAGTCCAATATCGAAAAGGTGTTTAAGCTCATTTAACAAGGACATTCCTTTTACTTCTATCTGGAAAAAGATGTCAGTTAGTTTAGAAATGTATACATGCTATAACTGTATGATCCCACTATCCTCCTAACCCTTCTATCCATTTTGGCATGTGGGATATCTGGTCTTCTACTAAACTCTCACTGTTCTTTGTCAACACAGTGAACACTCTTGACCACAGACCATCATATTTAGGAAGTCTTCTTCAGGCTTTTATAAAATCTTACAGAACCACGCAGACTCCTACCTCTGGTCCCAGCATGGCAGTAGGGTCTGTAATGGTGGACATGACTTCATTAATCAGCTCCATAGGAATGTCACCAATGACCCGTGCTTTCTTAGTGTCTTCATGAGACAAAGGCTCAGAGGACTTTCGCTTCTCTCCACCTTCAAATGCACACAAAAAACATGCAGCTTGCAATGTGCTAACGTTCATTTGAATATAGCACAGTCACTGTTGGGTCACATTTGCACTGGCTGCAACATGATATTAGAACATGCCTAAAACCTACCTAAGCCACAGCTGACAATATCAGTTGGCACGATCACAACACTGTCAAGGTCTTTTTATGTTAGCCAACTCATGTTCTGAGAGGTGGTTTGATTTTACTTACTTAGGCTGGGTTCCAGAGTTTTGCGTGCTGGGCTCACACTGCCTCCCCCTGACAACTCCACAGGAGAGGAACTGTTGGTGTAATACAGTGGCCTAGCCACTTGAGGCGCACTGATAACTGCACCAGTCAAACAGAGATAGATAGAACACCACAAGTCAGAAGACTCTATTCAGTCCTTCCAGGAATTTGCAATCACACATTCACACTAATTTAAGTCTTGCCACTTTTGCAAGGACTTTTGTCCATGAATTTTGTCCAATCACCACATTATTGCTATATTAAACATGTAAATTGTGTACCTTATCTGTCCAAAAGTATTCAGACAGGTCTTGTAATGTGTGAATTGAGCCAGTTTAACGTGCACCCACTGCTGATACAGGCGTTCAATTGCACAAAAACAACTTGTATAAGCTTTATGGAAAAGCACTGCCAATAGAATGGCAAGCTTGGAAGCAGCCACACATGAGTTGGAGTGGCGTTTGTGATCCAGAATTAATCAGCTAACATCAATACTTGTCCTCGCTAATGCTCTTGTGGCTGAATGCAATCTAATTTTCACAGCAATGTTCAAACATTTACAGTATTCCCCAAAGAGAAGAGGCTTCTACTACAGCAAACGAGGACAAACTCCCTTTTAATACTTATGAGTCTATTGATACCCAGTTAATACGTAGGTGTCTATAAACTTATGCACATATAGTGTATAAATGCTTTTACAGTTATTGTAGCATGCATCTTTTGTGTACCATGCCTTGTGTCATTTAGACTGGGCTGGGAGCGGGGGACATAATTGACAATCTCACTTTATAATGATAAGAAAATACTGTTCGGATTATTTTTAGATATTGCCCAGGCCTAGCTCAGAGCCGCACAGTGCACACTGGATGTTGTACGAAAATAAGTTTAAGAGCGCTTTATTTTACTTCTTGTCCTTTCCGGTATATTTCTCTGTAGAAATTTGGTGCTTATTTTGTATAGACGTTGTTTTGTTACATCATTTCAGTATGACATATTGAACCTTTGAGAATTTACAGTATTAAACAATATTAAAATATTTTTAAATCAACTTTGTTTGCTCTCGTTTCTCAGAAGTACGCTTAATTTATGATTTGTTTCTCCCTTGTTTTTATCAGGAACTAATTAGGCTACATTCAAACCAAGAGGAAGAAATATATTAGGCTTACAATTATGGCAAGCCACGCAGTCCACCCCACCAAAAAAAAAAAGACAGCAGATGGTACGTTTTATGGAATGCTCTTTTGCCAAAGAAAGCTTAAACCAGAACTAAATGAAAACTCTGAAGATTCACAATGATTTTTGAAAAAAGTTATTATAACTGCTCCATCTAAATATAAAGGTTTGACTAAAGCATGGATATTGTTAAGGATTCATTATAATTGTGGGAAAACATCTCAAAATGTAAAATCAAAATTACCTCGAGGGATCTGTCCACCTGATGAGCCAACCATGAAGTCTTCACTCCAGATAGGAGAATTGGGACTGTACACCTCCTCCTCCAGCATGGACAGGAACCTAAACACACAGACAACAAAAAACAGACACATCACACATTCACAGCAGTGTGCATCCTTACACGTTGTATAATGTTGTGTGTGCGCTTTCTTACTTAGGGAAGTGAGTGAGGATGAGTGTTCGTTTCTCAGGAGGCAGTTTGTCTTTCTCCTGTCTGGCCTGCTCCAGCAGCTGTTTCCTCATGACGGTGAAGACAGAGCGCAGGAGAGTGCGGCCAAATATCTGCGTGGCCTCGTACCGTGGAAGACTGTCGCAGAACTGTGGGACATTACAGTAGCACAGCCACCTACAACACACACACACACACACACACACACACACACACACACACACACACACACACACACACACACACACAAATCTTTCATATGGCTAAGAGTAAGATGTAAAACCTTTCAAACAGGGATGAACTGATATGGGAATTGTGGGCTAATGACAATCTCTCTTTTTTTGTTGTTTTGTTTTTACCCAGTTTTCCCTCCCAGTTTAATCATGTCCTTTCCACCCTCTATCGAGACTCCCCCTATCATGCAATGCTGCTGAGCTAGGAGAGTGAAGGCCAGCACAGGTTTCCTCCAAGTCACATAAAGCCAGCACATGTGACTGAGCATGCCAGCACAATGTCATTAGACAGCTCAACATCCTTGAAGGAGAATGCTAATTCATAATTCTGTTATGTCAGCTAACAGATGCCCACAATAGTTAGCATTGTGCTCAGTGATTGTGAGGCCTACTTAGCTCTCTTGGACACTTGGCTATGGATGGCTGAGGCATTGTCAGGAATTAAATTCGCATCTCTGAGCCCCTATCTGATCTTTTTCACATATTTGCCAATGCTGATGTATGTACACTATATGTCCAAAGGTTTGTAGGCACCTACTCCTCCAACATTTCTTCTGAAATCAAGGGAATTCATGTGGAGTTTGTCCATATTTTTGAGGCTTAAGTTTGAGGCTGTTGGAGTAACAGCCTCTACTCTTCTGAGAAGACTAAGTTAATGTAAAGAAAAGTAATTTTGGAGCATTTCTGTTGGTCCAATCATTATGAATTTTTATATAATGTAAAAGACAGCTGCTGACCTCAAACTATGCACAAAACTAAATATTGCAAAAAATGGAGATACTAATAAAGTAAAATGCAGACATTTCAGCAGAGTTGCCCAGCTTTAGATTTTAACAATATTTCGGTCTGTCCATTGCCGATAATTTTTATGTGATGTGATCATTATTCCCTATTTTCAGCCATAAGACATGGTAGCAAAAAGAGAACAGTGTTGTTGAGATTACTGACATTGACACTGACATTTTCTTTTCAGTATTACAGTGTTACAACACTTACAATGAGCACAATGATAAAAAATATGATTTTACTACTACTTTAAATCCATAGTCTGAACAAAACCTTTTGAAGTATTGAAAAAAAGCCTCCCCACACCATCTTGCAAATGTTATCATACAACTGGTGGTTTTCATCTACACTGTGTGCCAAGTTAGCATTTTTGATCAATCGGTTTGTTTTTCTACCTGGTGTAGTTGATTTTGTACCCAGCCACATCATCAGTAGGAACCCGCTGCCTTCTCTGCGATGGCGTCTCCAGTTGCCAATAGTTGATCTGGTTGAGGAACATTTTAGCCAGCTCCACAATGGTCTGCCGCTCTTTAGACGGGAGATGACTGAACTTGTACTGTACAAAGTTATTCACTCCCTGGAATACACAAACAACCAGTTAGCAAATTTACTTTCAAGTGACTCAAAGACTGCATTCAGACCTTCAGCGAATCCTCTAAATATGTAATACATGTCACATCGGTGTCAGTGGCAAAAATGCTAAACTTTTTCAATTCCATTTTTCAATTCAATTGTATTCTGAAAGCGCAATTTCAGTAAATGACTACTCAGTGAAAGTCATATATTGATTGTTCAGAAAAACCATAACCTGTTGTTTAAACAGCACAACAAGAAAGCAGTTACTTATGTAAAAATTCTCAGCTAACATCCCAGAATATCATCAGAGATGCTCTCAAGAACACTCGGTGTTGTACAGCATACTCTAGCCATCTTAGACTTGAGCTTGATCTAGTGGAAGGCAGCTTTAACCAGTTAATTCCTTTGCCTGCACTGGAGCTCATCTGCGCTGCTTAATTACAGTTTACCTGCTCAATGCTGGGTTTCTCAAACGGTGGGCTCTCCAAAGCCTCCACCACAGGCCTCCCCATTTGCAGGATGCACTTCCTCAGCAACTAAGATTAAAAATGCATGTCAGAGCTCATCTTTGCAATAAACACATGAAAGCATTTCTAATTCTAATCAGAAAGCAACAAGCACTTGCATTGATTTTTTTTTTTCAAATTGTTCTGTTGAGATGGAAAGAGTCATTCAAAGTGGTTTAGTATGAAATGAGGCATTCCAGGGCTCAGATATTTTTTTCTAGTGGTGGTGATAGGAACCAGGAGTCGCTCTTCTACAATGCAAATACAGACAGTTTATTTACCATGCAAAATGACCAGTGAGCCTACTTGTGTCTGAGTTTTTATATGCAATGTTGATAACTGTAAAATAGTAGAAGTAAATCTGATGAAAAAAGTTTTTTTCTCTGAGACCCCTACATAGACTCTTTTTTCCCTTACAATGCCCATTTAACACTTTGGACATCTGGTTCCTATCACCACCACTGTGAACACTGTGTGAATTCTGACTCGGTAAGTTTCAGTATAAGTATTTCACATTAACACACTCTGAATGACGTAGTTTATGTCTTAATGATTGCATTAAGCAAAATAAAATGAAATAAAAATTAGTGAAATTCCTCTTTAACTATAGTTTATGCTCAAATACACACACCCTGTCAAAAGACTGGACATACCTAGCCTTTCAAAATATTTGTAACATGTAAGTATGCTTACTTTGTCAGTTTGCAATAACTTAATTGAAAATAAATTTATAATATATATATATAGTATTATAGTATATAATATATTTCAATTTATTCTATTGTTTTGATGTCAGCACTCATTAGTTACGTAATATGTACGTAACTAATGAGTGTACGTAATGAATAGTACGTAAATGTAGAATTAATAATTTAATCATTGTTTAAACATTAATTAGTTCTGAATTACAAATGTCCTCCAACTCCTCTCAAAGGTCATGAATGGTGCTCCATTACAGACCACGCAGCTCCACTGCTCCACAGCCCAATTCCGAGCAGCTTCATGCCCCTTTAGCTGACACTTGGCATTGCGAATGATGACCTTAGGCTCATTTGTATATTCCATACATGTATGAAATTCTGTTTCTCAGAAAATACTCAGAAAATGTGTTTTTTTTTTTTAAGTGGAAGGGGGGAGGGGGACTTTTCACTGGCAATGTACCTTACTGCTTGGTAGGTCCTCTATTGGTTATGTATGGAATGAAAGAGGTGAAGCAGATGCCAGTGCAAATGTAGTCACCTTAAAGAGGGAAAAGTAGACTTGTTTAGTGTCTGCATCCTCTTCTTTGTGGACACAGGTGTAGAGGTATTCCACATCCAGTACAATACCCAGTAACCTGTTCATCTCCTCTTCTGATACATTCTCCAGGTGAGTTACATGATCTCCTGGCCAACAAAATTGATGAACTTCAGAAAGGCATCCACTTCAGGAACACTCACTGTGGTCTGTCTCATCCAACCATGTGCTAAGAAAACATTCACTATTACAGCATTATTTACAGTCTCGGAGACATGCCCATCTTACCTAACGGGTGACTGCAACTTCTACAAGGCTCAAGTAGATTAACAGCGATTGGCTGCTCTGCCCTGGGAGGGGTTGGAGGAGGTGGGGTTGGAGGTGGATTTTGGCTCTTCCAGCCATTACACTTGCAAGCTCCCTCTGCCTGTGGGGAGAGTGAGAGGAGAGAGAGAGAGAGAGAGAGAGAGAGAGAGAGAGAGAGAGAGAGAGAGAGAGAGAGATCCACTGACATGTCATACACTCTTCTGTTTATTTTTCTTGAAGTCTACCCACGTCTTTAAAATTCCAACACCATCAGTTTAGTCAATGACTGCAAGAAGACAGCCTGTCTAAATGCAATCAGGTGAAGAAATAAATCAACAAAAAGTTTAAAAAGTCAAAAATAGGCACTGCTGTAATCACAGTATACTCATTTAATTCCAAAGTAAGAGGAATTCCACCAATATTTCTAAATTTCTGCCTATTTAAATCATTTACATGTAAACAAAGTCTTTAAGAACAGTTTCATTTGCAATGTGCTATTCTAGAGAAAAAATCAGAATTGCTCACAGTGGGGATATTAACCAGACGTCGGAAGCGTCTAACACCTCTAAATGTTTCCTCACAGAAAGTTGTGACATGAAATAATTATGAATATGTTGCTCAATTTCTGAGATATTGTTTTATAACAGTTTTGACGTAAGATGTAGGGTACTGTAAGGCAAAACAGTTCCCAAAACAATTTACGATTTACTGCTATTTTACCATCATCAACATCACATACAAAAAACTCTGAAGACGTGTGTACATTTACTAGTTGTTTTAATCTTGCAGACATTGTGACCCCTGGTTCCTATCAACACCACTGTAAAGAAATCGTAGTTGGTACAATTCTCTATAATTAACAATTTCACATCAAACCAGTCTGAATTACTCTGTTTACATCTTGTAGAATACAGGTGTTTCAGCCACGAGCACTGCTAACACGTGGATAAAATCAAGCACATAGTCATGCAATGTCCATACACAAACACTGGCAGTTGAATGGATAATACTAAAGAGCTCAGTGCCTTTAAACATGATACTGTCATAGGATGCCATATTAGCCAAAAGTGAGTTTGTGGAATTTCTGTCCTGCTAGATCTGCCCCTGCCACTGGACTCTGGAGCAGTGGAAATGTATTCATTAGAGTGATCAATTATGCTTAAATATCTGGCAGTCTGATGGACGAATATGGGTTTGTCACATACCAGGAGAACACTTAATAGAATGCACAGGGCCAACAGTAAAGTTTGATGGAGGATGAATAATAGTCCGAGTCTGTTTTCCAGGTTTTCAGCTTGGCCCCTTAGTTCCAGTGAAGTGTAACGTTAATGATACAACATACCAAGACATTTCCGACAATTATACACTTCCACCTTTGTGGCAGCAGTTTGGGGAAGGCGCTTTCCTGTACCAGCATGACTGTGGCCCTGTGCACAAAGTGAGGTTCATAAAGACACGGTTTGACGAGTTTGGTATGGAGGAGCTCCTGTGGCCTGAGCAGAGCCTTGACCTCAACCTCACTGAACACCTTTGGGATAAACTGGAACATTCATTGTGAGCCACAAATGTGGAAAGCCTTCCCAGAAGAGAAAACCTGTTATAGCCACAAAAGGAAGGGGGCAGCTCCATATTAATCCCCTTGGTTTTGGAATAGGATGTCCAACACGCTCAAACAGGTGTGATGTACAGGTGTCCATATACTCCTGCTAAAAACAATGAAAAAAAAAAAAATCACAGAAACCATTAAAGATTCTTTTAGTTCCTGGTGGTGTCCAATAGTCACTAATGGTATTTTGTGTTTTCCTGATGGGTTGATACTGGAACTGATACCAGATGTATATGATGGTTTTCTAATGAGATCTAAGGTGTCCCATAGAAAAGTAGAGGTCTCTAATGTTAACCATTAAGCCAGTTCTCATTAGAAAGCAAAACCATCAGATATCAATCCTAATGGTTCTGTCTTTTTTTCAGCGGGGAAAAGTAATTTTGAACTAAATGCATATGCGGAGGCACATGCAGGACGTTGTAAGGAGAAATTATCCCACAAGAAAACGTCTTTAGATCTACTACTCTTTTACTGTTTTCAACATTTTATAGACAATTGAGAAGACGTGTGTGGTCATTTTAAGTAGTAAATAACACACCTATATTTGTGTTGTAGACACTGGGACCCCTGGTTCCTACCACCAGCACTGTAAAGATATTCCGAGCTGGCAAGAGTCTCTACAGTGAACTACTTCACATAAAACCACTTTATTTACATCTCAACGACAGAATTCTGCACACCTGTGGCCCAGACAAAATAATTTCGTATGAAGGAGAATTAGACAAATGAACGTGAACTTCTCCAGTCTTAAACTCGAAGTTCATTTTAGCGTTTTTAAATTTTAATAAAAGTGAACTCAGCTGCGAAAATACACGAAGCAGCGCGTGCAGGCAAGCTCGAGCTGCGCGCTGATAGGCCCCGCCCCCCGGCAGCTGTCATCCTGTCAAAACAAAGACGGCGCTCGAGCCTCCCGACGAAACAAATTCACTCTGTATCGCGTTTCATAACAAACTTCACTCCGAGGCTCGCAGGTATGTGAGCACAAACAGATATAAAAATGAAGTCACGAAGTTAAAAAAAACACGCACGCCCGGTTCAAAACACGGCAAAAAACATTACAACACTGCAACTGACGGCCCGCCAACTCTAGCCCAAATGTTTACGTCCTCTTGGCCGCTTTGGCCAAACGGCGGTTTATCTGTTTTGCTCGCGGAAATGCTGGCGTACAACATCGCGTTTTAGCTCGTAAGTGAGCACACGTCGCACAAAAACGGTGCTTCTGAGGTAAACTAGCTCGTGCAGATTGCAAAAGAATGACGGATTGAAGCGACGGCTTTTGTGCTGCGCTTGCAAATTTAAGAGTGAGTTCAGCGAACAGGAGCTGAACACATCAGCTAGAATGTGCAACAACAACCAAAAAAATAAAAAAAAAAACCACGCACAAATGGCACTCAGTTTCACTCTGCGCTTCGGCAGATCGATGTGCGTTAGGGGCTTTACCTTACACGACGAGTACACTCCGAGTTTCTCCAGTTTCTTAAGGCGCGGAGAGGAGCGGAGCTGCGCCTTCTTCACCGCGATCCGCGCGGAACCGACCGCCGCTCCGGAACCCTCGGCTCCCGCGACCCCTGGAGCCGCCGGAGCCGAGCCAGCAGCGCCCACGGCCGGGGAGCCCTGGGCGATGGCCGCGCTCTCCGCCATCTCGCACTCCAGGCCCCGCAGTGGGGGGGAGGGAGGGAGAAGGGGAGGGGGCGACGGGCTTCTCTGCGCTCCGAAATCCTCGACGACGCCGCGCTTTCTTTACTCCTCCACGGCAGGATCAGACATGGCGTTCATCCCTGTTTTTCATTTGACATTGTAAGTGCGCCGCGCGTCCGCTAGGGGAAACAAAAAGAATATGATTCCACAACGACTTGAGAAGAAAAAAAACGCACTCGCTCCGTGGCTGGAATTTCAAGGTCAAATTGACTCGAAGTCAAAAATGATTTGAATGATAAGCGGCTAAAGTCAACTGTGAAGTAACCGTGACGACGCGGGTCAGACGAAGAATTTAAATTAGCAGCTTTAACAGTACACGCCCAGTCTGCTCCATCAGACACACGATTCATTATCTTCATTTATGGACATCAAAACTAGGACAAATGGGAATGGACCAGTTAGTGCTGTCCCATTCTCGATCTAGATTAAACAGATGCACATCATTTGTGGCTCAGCGTGTCAGTTCAAAGTTTTCGAGTAGAGCTCATATCTGTGTGGAGAACCAAAAACCTGATAGGACACATACCACTTTTAAACACCGAGCGTTATGTTGTGCACGACTACCGATTATTTTTTTTAATTGAAATATACATAATTAGAATAATTACTTGATATATAATCTCATAAATTGTTCCAACAAAATTAAAGTTATCCCCATCATAAACTGGTGGTCAGATGATCGCTGTGATGGCCTCTCGATGCACACAGCTGTTTGTCAAACAGCTCAGTGAAGTTACCAGACGTGCAGATATACACCGCGATATTCAACATACTGTTACCGTGGACATTTTAAAATAACGTCTAAAAACGTCAGTGCATTTGTACATTTGTAGCTCTGGTTACACAAGATTCCACTATATTGTCACTCAAGATACTTTCCAAAAAAAGAAGAAAAAAAAAAGAAAAGAAAGAAAACACCACAAAAGAACTGGATGTTTGTTTCTTATTTTCTTTTTGTTAATAACACTACATACATTTATAAGACCACCATTGATTATAATTTAACCATTTTGTGAAAAAAGAAACATAAGTCCAAACCCCTATCAAAGCAGTTTCTGGTTACTGTACAGTTTTTTTTTTTAATGATTATCTAGACAACTCCCTATCAAGCATTAGTTCTGCAATGGTAAATGGAAAAGTAGACTACATTGCAACACCCTATTTACAGTAAATTATTTATATATATATATTTATATCACTCTGGCTGTATTTAGAGCAGATAAATTCATGAACAAAATTAGTGCAAGGCATGGAGTAAGAAACACCTGGTTGTGTTAAAACCAAAGAGAGAGAGAGAGAGAGAGAGAGAGAGAGAGAGAGAGAGAGAGAGAGAGAGAGAGAGAAAGAAAGAAAGAAAAAGAGAGAGATTAGCCTCAGGCTCATGTTTGTGAAAGGGGTGGGGGAAATAAACGACTACTCATCTTATTAAGTGGAAGTGTGCACTAAATTAAGGGGTGCAATTAATTTCTCACTACATGAATGCAGTGTCACAGCATAGGTTCCTCTGCATTCTCAAACATGCATGCTGACTGACAAACACTCAGGCACGCACATTCACACTGTGCCAAAAGAACTATGCCGACAAAGTAGTAAAGGCTCACCATGACTGGCCAGATAGCATTGTGGGAAAGGAATCATCAATATATGTAGGTACACGTGTGCATAAGTATGTGAATAACAGCGTGATTAGTTTGTAGGAGTTTTACAGGCAGTACGGTCAAAAGAAGTGGGCAGTCAGCTATTGCACGGTGTCAATGGGGCATCTAGAAGCAGAGCAGAATGTGCTGTGGGAACAAAGAGGGGAAAAGGGGATAACGGGTCATCTGTCTCATCCTCTCTCATCGCTTGTGCCATCGGATAAAACTCTGATTTATGTTTAGGCCTTGTAGTGAAACATGCATCCATTATTCTGCAAAGTACATTTCTATAAAATGAAACAATAAAAAAGGTGAAAACAAAGAAAAAAAAATTAAGAGAAAAAAGATTTTGTCTGAAAAATGGAGGCTATAGAGTCTTTAGCTATTAACAGGATGGGTGGATTCTTGCAGAAGCCCCGCCCCTGTGCCTAGGGCTAGCAAATGGCATAAGGAAGAATTATCTGATGAGCATTTGTGAAAGCAGAGTAATGTTTGGACACAAGCCATAACCTTCAGAAAACAAAATGAAGGGCCTTGTACATCAAAAAAAGGTCAGGGCATAGCTTTTGTTACTGCTGGCCACCAAGTTACGGAAAGGAAGAGAGCAGGGCATTTCATTAGTTACAGTCATAACCAAGTCAGAGGAGGGGCAGGGCCAGGGCCTTGCGTTAGTTGTTGTGGTAACAGAGTTTGGTGTGTGGGATGTCTGCATTAGTTGCTGCAGCAGGGGGCCTTGGTGGGTGGGGCTGTCTCAGTTAGGTCCACGCCCCTACTCCGCCCGCTGTTGGTTCCAGCAGCCTGGGGCTCACTCTTGGGCAACCTTTTAGCTGGAATACAAAAGGGGGAAGGAAATGTAAAATTTTGTAAAACGAACTGGCTGCAAAACACACAAAACATTGTCCTCATGGCTTGTTTACAAGCTGTATTAACAGCTGTGACATTGTAGCACAAATAAAGACCTACCAATGGCCATGAAAATCTCATTCACATTCATGGAGGTCTTAGCTGATGTCTCCATGAAGAGCAAACTGTTGTCATCTGCATAAGACTGGGCATCCTGAAAAACAGCATCCCAGACAAATGAGTCAACAAACTGGCCACATTGTCTGTAGCCCTGCATCGCACTCTGCAGTTATTTCCAGTGGAGGTCTATGTTACTATAGCTTAATGTATTGAGAGTTCTGTTGCGCTGTCATTAGAGTTCAAAATGCATTTGAATGTCTTGTTCCATCTATTGGTGTTTAAGTTAAAGGGTTAAAATGCATCAATGCAAAAGAGAGCATTAACACACTTCCCTAGGCTGATCTTTCAAACAATCTGTAGTAGTACTGGCTGAAACAGAGCTGCTCACACACTCTATGTTGCTCTGATAGTATCTGCAATTGTAGACCTGTCATTCAAATCGAGCTTTCAAATAGCTTTTAAAAGCAACACCTTCCAGCAGTGCTCATGGGAGACCTAGCCCTAAATCAACAAGCAGAAACCTAACAAGCCTCCACTGTTTAGGAACACATCAAAAACAACTCGACAGTCCTTTACGCAGAACTAAAATAATTTGTTCAAAGATGAACAATGTCTGCAATTACAAACAAAACCCTTTACGAATGCTTATTTGGGGTGGGATGCTGTCTGGCTGCAGAGCATGTTCTCTAACACATTAAGAGACAAAAAAGTTCAAATTCTGCCTGCTGTTCATCAATTTAACCTCTTTAACTCCTTGGCACTTTGTCATATTCTTCATAACTTTCATATTTCATAAGCTACATTCAAAAAGTGGGCGTCATATGAGAGCTGCAATCGTCTTCTTTCCAGTCAAATAGATGGGTAATGTCATTTTAAAACTTTATAATAAAAGAAGCTGAACTCACAATTTATTTTCTACTGAAAGTTGACCCATTTTTCCACAAATTTGAGCTAGAATCTGGATCTCAGATGGTGTCTCTTCAGTGAAATGCTCTGTAAAAATTACTTTTATAAAAAAATACAAAGAGCATCTAAGATTTTTGGCTTTCAGCAGTAAATTGTAAGCATATAGCATTATATTTATGACCATAAAAGACATTTTCTGTTAATTTAAGGGGAACTTTTACACATTTAGTTATTTCATGCAGTTACTGAATAATTGCCTTATGATTTTGGCATGTCAATTCAGAGAGAGAGTTATTGTACATGATATTGTACACATTTCCATAACAATAGTAGTCAACGCACTGAAAGAAAATGACACAGAAAAAACATCCATCTGTCTGGTAACAACTTCCCAAGAACACAGTCAACCATTGAAAATCTGTCTCAAGGACTCATGGACTAATGTAACTTCTTTCACAAAAACAAATGAAATAAAATTACACGTACATACAAACCGCAATTCTAAAAGATTTGGTACAACACATGAAAAGCAAAAAAAACTGATCTTGTTAAAACAGTACAAGACAAGACAATTAATGCTTTACTTTATCAATTTAATTATTTTTTTATATCAATGCCTGCAACACGTTTAAAAAAAATCTGTGACCGGAACATTTATATAAGAATGTTGTAAAATGTTCAAATAACATTTTAAACAGCTGATACAATCATGCTTAGGTATAAAAGGAGCATCCAGGAAAGACCTAGTCCTTTTTGCTTAAGAATGGTTTAAGGCCCATCACACTGTCAAAAAAAGAAAAATGAATGATCCAACTCCAAGAACAATGTTCCTCAACAAGCATTTGCAGAGATTTTAGGTATTTCACCTTCTACTGCGTATTATATGATTAAAACATCCAGAGAATCTGGAGAAATCTCATGAAGTACAAACGAAAACCAAAACTGAATGCTTGTGTCCTTCAATCCCTCAGATGGCACTGCATTAAAAACCGACATGTTTCTGTGATGGATATTATTAGGCTTAGGAGTACTTTGACAAACCACAGTCAATAAACACTGTTAGTCATTGCATCCACTAATGCAAGTCAAGGCTGTACTATGCACAGTAGAAGCAACATGTCAACAACATTCAGAGATGCTGGTGACTTCTCTGAGCATAAGCTCATCTGAAATGGGCTGATGCACAGTACAAACATGTATTGGTGGTCTTATGACTCAACCTTAGAGACAGTTTACAGAAATAATGGATGTTGTGATCTCCAGACCAAAAAAGGAACAGGACCATCCAGATTGTTACCAGCATAAAGTTCAAAAGTCAGCGCCCGTCATGGTATGAGGTAGTATTACAGCCCATGGCATGGGAAACTTGGACAATTGTGAAGGCACCATTACGGCTGAAAGACATATACACAGGTTTCCTTCTAGATGATGTTGTTTTCAGTGACGTCCATGCTTATTTTAACATGACAAGCCAAGCCACATTCTGTATGTGCTACAACAGCATTGCTGTGTAATCAAAGAGTGCAGGTGCTACTAGAAAGGCCAGCTGAAGACTTGTACAACGGAAATCTCCAAAAAAACAAAAAAAATTCAAACGATGTCTTCAGTCTCTAAACGATTATTAAGTATTGTTAAAAGGAAAGGTGATATAACACAATGATAAACAAGCTACTGTCCCAAATTTTTTTAGGCATCAAATTTGGAAGTAGCACATTTTACAAAACAAACATAAAGAAAGTATTAAAGTTCATAAAAACATCAGGTATTGTGTTTTAGTACTGATTTCAATTTAATACAGGTCAAACAAAACCAAATCACTGTTGTAATTAGCATTGCAAACAATGTTTTTTTTTGGTACTGCTTTGAAACCCACCTGGAAGTCAACAGCTCTTTTGTTAGCAAGGTCAGCTTTGTTTCCAGAAAGAGCAATGACAATGTTTGGGCTGGCCTGCCT